GGAGGAGGAGGATCTCGGGAGGATGCGTCGTCGAATCCTCTGCTTTTTGTTCGCTGTTCCAGTCACCCAGCTGCCCAGAGCTGCCCAAAGGTCGAGGCACCGAGGCCCACAGCACGCACGCGCGCGCGGCCGCGCGCGGTCGCGCGCCCGGGCGATGGCGGAGCCCTCCGGCCTGCGGGCCGCGCTGCAGGAGCCACCGAGCGCGTGGGGGGTTTCTCCGAAGGGCTAAGGCGACCCGTCCTCCTCCTCGCTCCTCCTCCTCCTCCTCCTCCTCCTCCTCCTCCTCCATCTACAATTACTCAATATGAATACTACTCTCCCTCTTCCCCTGATGACGTCTTTTGCGTATTCGCCCCCCGCGTACTGTTTTTTTACACACGATTCCCCGGAGTTGGGTTTTCGCCTGCGTTTTTTTATATCAAAATGCTGCTCTCGCTGAGGCGCCGGCCTCATTTCTGCTCCCGAATCGTTCCGAATCGTGCTCCCGCTGCAGCGTGGGCCTCATTTTCGGATCGGTGTTTTGCCTCCGTCGTTCAGGATGGCGTTCTCGCCCCAGCGCGGGCTTTTTTCTCGCGCGCCCATCCGCCCGCCACCACCGCGCCGCACCACGCCCCGCCCCGCCGCACGCACACCCACCGCCACTTCCACCCACCAACGCACGCACGCACGCACGCGCACTACCACCGCGCACCTCCACCACCACCGCACTACCCCACCCACCACCACCACGCTACACCGCGTCACACCACATCACACGCGCACGCACACAGACACACACGCACGCACGCACGCACACACACACACACATACACGCGCACACACACACACACATACACGCGCACACACACACACACACGCACACACAGACACACACACACACACCACCACCGCCACCACCACCACCGCCATCACGCACGTACGCACCTGGCCCACCACCAAACCACCAAGACGCCACACCACGTCACACCACAGCACACGTGCACACACGCACACACACACACATACACACCACCACCACAACAACCACAAGCACGCACACACGCACGCACGCACGCGCACCACCACCCACTACGCACACGCGCGCGGAGCCACAGGTCCGCTACGACACGCGTCCGCGGATAGAGAAAATCAGCGCCATGGTAAGGGATGGGAGGGAGGGGTAGGATGTCTGATGTTGACGCGAGCGCACCTAACTTGCCTCCTCCCCCTCCCCCTCCTCCTCCTCCTCCCCCTCCTCCTCCTCCTCCTCCTCCTCCTCCTCCTCCTCCTCGGGTCGCCTACGGCCCCAGGGGAAGCCGTGCACGAGCGCGTCCCGCTGCTCGCAGAGTGGCTAGTCGCAAACGGTCGGAAAGCACACGTGTTCGCCTCGATGTGAGGGATCGTAGAACCTTCACGGCGCATCTGGGCCATTTTCGAGCGGTTCCTTCCTGCGAGTAGTGGAAGGAACGCGCTTGTCTGAGGAGAGTGACTTTGTTCGGCGGCGAGCATAGGGGGGAAGTGAGGAAGGGCGTGCCTTCTCGGAAGGCTTCGAAGTCTTCCTGGCCTTTTGAGGAGTTTTCTGAGCCTTCTCCGAAGAGACATAACACTTTCCAACAGGCTGGAGGGCTTCTGCGAAGTCCCGCCTCCCTCTGAGACGGCCTTCTCCTTCTCATTTGCTCCCTCGCTCGCCGCCGATTGTTGTTCCCGCTGGGCCATACAGTCGAAAGCGATAGTGAGGATGATTCAGAAGTGGAAGAGGTACGCAGACCGCTACTCTCGCTTCGTTATCTCCTTTTTGGGCCTCCCCAGCCTGCGGGCCGCGCTCTCAGAGAGTGATTTTTGTTCCCGCTGGGTCATACTGGACGGGGCTAGGACGAGGACACATCCGTTTCAGAGCGCGTTCCAGAGCTCTTTAAGAAGACAGAGGCACCCGAGACATTTTCCAGATCCGCAGAATCTCAGAGGTCATCGATTTACCCGAACCCGAATTGAAAGCTTGTCCTGGCTTCGTCTTACCATACAGTCGAGACATACTAGTAAGAATGATTCAGAGGAGGAAGCGGTATCCATACCGCTACTCTTGCCTCGTTTTTTCTTCTGGGGCCTCCTGGGAGGCCCTCGTGTCCACCGCTGCATTCGCTTCGAAATTCTGGTCAGAACGCACTCCGGGAGAGGTCCGGGGATCAGCGGTATCGGTACCTTGTGGCCTCCCCAGATTGTAAGGACGATCGAGTTCCCAAGGGTGCTTTTGTTTCCTTGCCTCTTCGGCCATCTTCGGTCCATCCTCAGCCATTTTCGATGGCCAGCCCCGCTCGAAAATCGCTGATCTATCATCGCGCGTACTTCCCAGCAGTCTTGACAGAGACGCGCGCGGTGCCCCCTCCCTCCCCCCTCCCCCTCCCCCTGCCAGACAAGCTCGGGCCGCGAAGAGATCAGGGCGGGAGGACTCTGTGCCGTTCTCGGCCCCTCGGGGCCGCCCAGGAGCGGCTCGGCCCTGGGGAGAGGGCCCGGCACTTCCGGGCACCGCGGATCGAGAGAATGAGGACGTCGCACCTCTGGGCCGCCCCCCTCCCCCCCGCGCACGGCGTGCAGCGCCCTCGCTCCCCCCGGTGCGGCCTTGGCGCTGCCGCAGTGCGTCCGCCACCACGGCCTGCCGCGGTGGAGGGCAGGGGCGTTGCAGTCGGGGCCCTGAAGAAGGAACGCTTTTCGTTGGGGAGGGGCTCCGTGTTCCTTAAGTGTTTCACAGCTTGCCTCAGGTTTTCCCGGTGTTTTCGACAGGAAATCGAAGTTTCACTCATGGAAAAAAAGGGGCCTCGTTCCTTATTTAGGGTTCCTTAGGTCAAGACCCTCACTGTACGTCAGGCCTGCTCCCCGCCCCCCGCCCCCCGCCCCTCCCCATGATGCCTGTTGTCGCCGCGAGTGAAGATGCTCTCCAGGAGCACGAGGCCCGCCCGTGCCAGGCGCTGGCGGCGAATCAGGAGACTGGTGGCTGGCAGCACAGACATGCCCGCGCCGTGACACCAAATTTAAGTCGGGCCTATCCCTCTGCAGGAGGAAGATTCAATAATAGTAACGAAATAGTCGGGGGACGTTTTTTTGTTATTCTTGTTGAGCATTTTGGAGTATTTTCTTGCTTTTTATATTAAAAAACTTTTCGCCCAAGATCCCCCTGTAGGGGGACGCCCGAGCTAGCACCAAATCGCGACGGGAGGTTTCTGGCCGTCGGCCTCTGGGGCCATCGCTGGGTCCTGGGACCCTTCAGGAACTGCTCCGGGTGAGAAGCCAGCCCCGGGGAAAGGGCCGGGACTTCCGGGGGCCGCGCGCTGAACAAATCAGGGCACCGCATGTCTGAGAAGGCTTCGCCTGTTTTCTGAGCCCTCCGGCCGCCTGAGGCCCCGCCCGCCCGCCCGCGCCCTGTCTCCCCAATTAGGGCTACCCGCGCCCCGTTTAGTTCTTGACCGGAAGGGGCCCGCTCCCGACCCGCAGACCCAACAAAAAGTCTGAGAAGGCTTCGGGTTGCGCGCAGTCGGCCCATCCCTGTAGTCCCGGCTGGCCTCAGCAGGCCCCGCGAGTATCCCCAGCTGCTCTCGACAGGCCCCCCGAGTATGCCGGGGCGCTATCGGCACCCTGGTGCCGCCTCCGGCGGCGCCCTTGGGGCGCTCCTCGTTCCAGGGTTGGGGTGTTCCCAGGCATGCCTGTGCAAGCTCTTCGGCACCGCCTGTACTCCGCACCCTCCGGCCGCCTGAGGCCCCGCCCGCCCGCGCCCTGTCTCCCCAATTAGTGCTTCGCGCGCCCCGCCTAGCTCTTAACCGGAAGGGGCCCGCTCTCGACCCGCCGACCAAAAAAGTGTTCTCAGGCATGCGATGTGATTTTCAAAGCACTGGGTCCATCCTTTCCCCGCGGCCGGTTTTTTTCATCGCGAGGCCCTGTTGATGCCAGCTGGAAGTGCTCCGGGGGTCTGTGGAGGCCAGCTGGGACTACCTGGGGGGGCTGTCTGTATGCAACCCGAAGCCTTACCATCGGTGGCTTCCGAGGCTGCCGGCCTACCCGCGCCGCGGAGGGGGAGGAGGAGAACGACGACGGCGACAAGGAAGACGACCACGACCACGACCACGACGACGACGACGCCGACGACGCCGACGACGCCGACACCGACGCCGACGCCGACGACGCCGACGACGCCGATGCCCACGCCGACGCCCACGCCGACGCCCACGCCGACGCCGACGCCGACGCCGACGCCGACGACAACGACGACGACGACGACGAGGAGGAGGAGGAGGAGGAGGAGGAGGAGGGGGAGGAGGGGGAGGAGGGGGAGGAGGAGGAGGAGGAGGGGGCAACATAAGCGGCTTTCGTGCCCCGCGGGTCCCTCGGAGCCAGTGCGCGCGGCTCTGCTGGACAGCACGGTACCACTGTGGCCCAATTGTCTGCCACCACTTCTTGGATTGGTCGGAAATGGATGGCCCGAGCTCGAAGGCCTCGGCGCGCAGCTGAACCCGGTGCGCGGTGGAGCTTTCGAGGTCTGGGATCTCTGGCAGGCCATCGGGCTTCCACCGAAGCTGGTGGCAGCGGCATGCCGGGCCCCCAGGCGTCGCTGAAGCAGTCCTTCGTTGGGCACTCCCCGCAGTTCGGCACGGTCGGGCTGGCAGAGGCACTGTCGCCCAGCGAGGTCGCCGATGAGCGGGTCTGGTGGTCGGAGGCGTTGACGGCGCAGGTGATCCGGACCACAGCGGCGCAGACGCAGCAGATTCTGAGCTTCGTCTCGGAGGAGATCCAGAAGCAGACGGAGGTTTGGGAAGCCAGACGGCACCAGTGCCCCTACTCCACAGACCTCTCCGTGGTGCGCTCTGGCCACGTTTCGAGGAGAATCCAGCCTTCGCGACGAGGGCCTCCCAGGAGGCCCCATAAAGGCGAACTCGAGGCTAGGTGTAGCGGTGTCGGTACCTGCTCCTCCTCCGAGAGGTGCTGCAGTTCTTCCTCGCGGCGAGTACCCGGAGCGCCGCCGCGGAAGCCCCCCCGGGTGGCGAGGCGCACGCGCTGTCGCCACGGCCGCGCGATGGCGCGCCGCGCGGCGGCCTGGAGGCGCTGCTGGAGCAGGAGATAAGCGAGCGTCGCGCCAGCGAGACTGGCCTGCGCAAGGTTCGGCGACTGTGGCGGGTGTGGCCGGCCACGCGCAGAGGGGGGAAGCCTTCTCAGAAGCCCCCCTGCTTCTTATAAAAGGTGCGGGCCCTGTCCAGAGATGTGAGGCCGGCGCCTTCTAAGAAGCACCCCCGCTTCTAAGAAGCCTTCTCTCCTCCTCCTCCTCCTCCTCCTACCCTCCTCCCCACCCCCCCTCCCCCCTTCTCCCATCCCTCCTCCCTCCTCCTCTCCTCCTCCGCCTCCTCCTCCTCCTCCTCCTCCTCCTCCTCCTCCTCCTCCTCCTCCTCCTCCTCCTCCTCCTCCTCCTCCTCCTCCTCCTCCTCCCCCTCCCCCCCTCGTGCGCGCCGCCACTGTGGTCACGCCGGGGTGTGGCTTGCGACCGGCGCCGTTGGGATCGCCACGCTGCGCCCGAGAGTCTGCAGAGCCCTCGGGCGGGCGCGGCGAGGAGGTCTCTGTCGAGGCCCTCGCCCGCCCTGCAGGGTGCGGGTTGCAAGCCGCTCCTCCTCCTCCTCCCCCTCCTCCTCCTCCTCCTCCTCCTCCTCCGTCGGAGCCGCCCGAGAGGTGATGGAGGAGCAGGGCGCGGCGCTGGAGGGCATGTCCCGCGCCCTGGCCGGGCTCGAGGCGCTGCTGCGGCCGCCCGGCGGCGCGCCCGAGGCCCCGCCCGCGGCTCCGCCAGCGGCCGAGTGCGTCCCGGACGTGGGCGAGGCGTCCGAGCGGAGCGCGCCCATGAAGCACGAGACCTCGGACTTTACTCGCTCCCGAGGGATTGTCCAGTACGATCGCGCGGCAGCCCACAGCGGAAGTTCGGGGGCGGCAAAGAGGGGGGTGACGTCTAGGGGGGGGTGGAGATCATGGCGGGGGCCGTGCTATCTCCCCAGATCTCATGGCGCCTCTTCTTCTGTTCATGCGTCCCTGGCTTCCCCCTGGGCCGCGCACGTGCCGCCGGCCATGGTTAGCACACCACCCTCTTGGACGCCCCCCCTCTTGGCCGCCCCCGAGGAAGTGGCGCCCCTGGGAGGCATGTCAGCATGGAGTGGCCGGGCATGGAGTTGCGGAAGCAGTGCAGGAGATTATGCCACAGCCGCCAATTCGTTTTGTTCACGGTGTGCATGATCGTAGCAAATTCGGCTCTTCTCGGATTTGAGGCGAACGAGGCTATGACTTCTCCAGACTTGACTTTGCCGGACGGTCTTGCGTACCGAATCGCCCACGCGAGTTTTGCCCTGGTGTTCGTGATAGAGCTTGCATTGCGCTGGTTCGGCGACGGTTGCACATTCCTTTCGCCTAGGAACCCCGAAATTATGTGGAATTGTTTCGACACGCTGATTATTTGTCTGACGGTTGTCGAAGAGCTTCTTAAGATTTGGGGAACCGACGTCCTAACATTTGGTTTCTTGCGTATGTCTCGCATTCTCAGGTTGGCTCGAATGATGCGCGCGTTCAAGATAGTCCGCGAACTAAAGGAATTGAGGATAATGGTTACTGGAATCATGCATTGTCTGAGGCCGCTCTTTTGGGCATCGGTGTTGATCGTGGGTTTGACCTACATGACGGCAGTCCTCATAGCTCAAATCCTTACCGACCATATGCGTACGGCCAAAGTTACAGACACTGATGTAGATGATTACATCGAACATCATTTCTCGACCCTAGGGGTGAGTATGTACTCGCTGTTTGAGGCTCTCACAGGTGGGCGGGATTGGGGTGATATTGCAGAGCCGTTCATGGAGATACATTGGATGTTGGTGTGTTGCCTTGTCTTGTACATTACCATTGGAGTATTCTGCCTTCTCAACCTCTTGACCGCTGTATCAGATGGCCTCGGGCGCATTCCGCCACCGCGCCCTGGGGGCCTCCAGGGAGGGGTGCGTTGTGCTTCCGGGAGGTCTCCGGGGTGTCCTCTTGGGGGGCCTCGAGGGATCTCTGGGGCATCTTGGGGCCGTCGTGGAAGTGTAGGGAACGCAACCTCTGAGGTCAAACTTGTAGCTTAAAGCGAACGTGCAGTTTTCCAGCGATTCTGTCACCCCCGCCGCGAAAAGGGGCGCCGATGAATTTGCTACAGTCTTTCTACGGTTCGGCACTTGCTGAGCGGTGGTGAAATCCACGACGTGCTGAAGGCACGGTGGCGGATTCTTGGAAGCAGCACAACGGATGGACGACGTGCAAGATCTCGTATACACGAAGAGGGATTGGGTGGACGGCATGAAGGCGTTCTTCGTGAAAGCGGCTGGAGAGCTCTCGGCGTCGCATTCTCTGTCGGATCAGAAAATTAGGCGAGAAGACTTCATCACGCTGATGAAGTCGAAAACGAACGTGAAGTTCCTGGAGGAGAACGGGTTGGACTTGTGCTTTGCAGGGACAGGCTGGTTGGAGCAGCTGTTCAACATCATGGACGAGGACGGCAATGGCGACCTGGACGTGAGCGAGTTCGTGAACAACCTCTACGATCTCAAGGGGCCCGCCCGCGCCCTTGAGCAGAAGCTGGAGCACCAGAAGATCATGGGCATGATCGACGCACTGCGCACAGACTCCATGTCCCGCCGCCTCAGCTGGCGCGCGCAGCCCTAGCTCCCGCCGCAGCCCTAGCCGCGGCCTGTCGAGACAGCGGCGGCCCGCCCGTCCGACCCGCACTTGCTCGAAGTCGGCCCCCGGACCCCTCACGGGCCCCCGAGGGGACGAGAAAAGCCACGAGGAGGAGGAGGAGGAGGAGGAAGAAACGGAGGAGGAGGAGGAGGAGGAGGAGGAGGAGGAGGAGGAGGAGGAAGAAACGGAGGAGGAGGAGGATGAGGAGGAGGAAGAAAACGGGGAGGAGGAGGAGGAGGAGGCGGAGGAGGCGGAGGGGCGGCGGAGGCGGAGGAGCGGAGGGCGGAGGAGGAGGAGGAGGAGGAGGAGGAGGAGGAGGAGGAGGCCCAGAAACGACGAGAGACGCCAGGGAGGGCCCCCGCTGTCTCGACTGGCCCTCCTCCGAGGGACGCTCGCGAGCCAACGACCAGGAAGGAAGGCTGGAGTGCATCTCTTGACGGCGCGCCCGGTTGGGAAGGCAGGCAGGGGGGGGGTCCTTCTCAGAAGGCTCCGTGGGCCTCCGGCCTTCTGAGAGGCCTTCTGATCCTTCCTCGAAAGCAGGCACGGCTTCTCAGACGGCCCGAGGTCGGTCGCACGTAAGAGAGGCCTTTTCGCCGGAGTGACCTGTGTCTCGGGCCCCAGGGGGTCCCCCGATCGCCGAACGCGATGCGGCAGTAGCGTCTTGCGCGCTTCTGTCTGGCCCCCCCGTGGCCCCGGAAGAGCCGCGCGCACCAGAGGTCATTTTTACCCAGGGCCACGCTTGCGTGCAGTCGAAGAAGGCTCCCGCCGCCTGTGGGAAGGCCTGCCCCCGCTCGCTCCCCCTCTGGGCGCGCCGCCGGAGCGCCTCGGACCTCTCTCTATACTGGCACCTGCGGCCGGGGAGTGCGGCCGCGCCGCCCGCGCGAGGCAGGCGAGCGGAGCCCTCTGCGCGGGCACCGGCGCGCGAGCCTCCCCGCGCGAGGCCGCGCGCGAGCGGCCCCGCGCTTCGCCGGCGTGGCGTGCCGCGCTGGCGGCCCGCGCGAGCCACCGCGCAGGGTCGCCGTGACGCCGCGCCCGCGGCCCGCCGGTCCTCGCCGCTCGCCTCCGGGAGCTCCCGCCCGGGCCGAGCCCGCGGCGGGGGCCTCGGGTGCGGAGGCGCTCCGCGCGTCCTCGCCATGACAGTGCCGTTTTCAATGCATGCTCCGCGTGCGGATCGTGTGTTAAACATGTAGGGATTGAGTATACAAAAATAACTATGAGTTGATGCATGAATTCATTCATAGATTAATCATGGATTAAAACTCCTATATTGTTAAAAATCCGATGTCTTAAAAACTGCCCTGTACTCTGCAGCAAGTCCCCGCTCGAGGCACCCGCCTGGACGACCCGGACACGTGACGACGAGCGCTTCGCTCGAGGCCTCCCCCACGCACCCTCACGTTCGGAAGCCGCCCGGCGACCCGGACACGTGAGAACAAGCGTTTCGCTCGAGGCAGTCTCAAGAAAACCTCATGGCAGGCGTCCGCCTGGGCGATCTGGACACGTGAGAAAAGCATTTCGGTTGAGAATTCTCAACACATTATGCAGAACAAGCGTTTCGCTCGAGACATCCCCCACCTCTTCAAAGCAAGGGTTTCCTTTGATATGCCCTCAACACATCATGTGAAACAAGCGTTTCGCTCGAGACATCCTCAACATGTGAATCGGCCGGCCCACCTCGACCTCGTTATTTTTCGAAGGAAGAGTCCGCCGGCCCACCCCCAACATGGCTCCTGGGGACATTGGAACACTACTAAAATGATAACTCTGGGCCCGAGCCGTTTGTGGGATAACCCTCAGTTACATAGGGAGAAGCCGTGAGTTTTGTTTTTTCTTTCTGTAGCCACCGATGGACTGCTGAGGCTCAACCTCACCCCCGCGAGGTTCCTGGGAGATCCGGGAAATGGCCAAAGCGCTCCCCAGAGGCCAAAAGATCCCCTCAAACAACGCACCCAGTAAGACCCCAAGGGGTCCCATAATTCAGGAGGGGAGAAAACACACAGACACAATTAATCGGCGATTCCCAGAAAATATGGGGAAATATGGGGAATCCTGTTATTTGTGTGTATTCCTTTGTGTGTCCCAGTTCCCCTTCAATAGTGTTTCCAAGATGCTCCTAAGAGGCGCTGCAAAAGTGTCCTCGAGCCAGGGCACCCAGAAGGCGCCCACGAGGCACCACGGAGTCTCCAAGGAGGCCTCCCAGCGGCCCCCAAGAGGGCTCGCAGGGCCTCCAAGAAGCTCCCCAGGGGAGCCAAAGAGACTTCCAAAACGAGCCCCCGAATCCCTCAAGAGGCTGGGTCCTCTGAGCTTCTGTTGTGCTCCCGCAGCTCACCACACACGAAACCACCCAAACCAGCCCGAAGGCTCCAACTTGCCCTCCATTCCAAGGGGGGGTGCGTCGGGGAACATTGACAAAAAACGTATGGAACCCGTGCCCCCCCCAACCCAGAACTTGGGTCTTCGTGTTTGGTTGAAGTGGTTTGGTAGGCGGTCCGCAGCCGTCGCTGTTGCCGCCGCCGCTGCTGCCGCTGCTGCCGCTGCTGCCGCTGCTGCCGCTGCTGCCGCTGCTGCCGCTGCTGCCGCTGGCGCTGTCGACGCTCCCGCTGGTGCCGCCGCCGCTGCCCTGTGCGGCTCCGCCATCGTTTTAATGCGCGGCTGCCCCGTCGCGACCCCTACGGCGGGGGCCCTCTTGGGGCGCCTTGGGGCGATCGGGGAGGCCCCGGGGGCTGTCTTGAGGCAGTCCGCACGTGCGCTCGGGCAAGCCGGGAGGCGGCATCAGAAGCTCGGAAACGCGAGAGCGCCCAAGTCAGTGCAACACCACCGTCATCGGAGGTGAGGGGGTGAGATCGAAGTGAAACGGAGAGCCCCCCAGCGGGAAATCGGTTTCGGTTTCGGGTTTGTGTCGTGCGTGCGGGCGAGGCGAATCTTCGTGGGCGAGCGAGAGGAATGAACCCTCCTCTGGTTAGGGCGCAGCGAGGACAGAAGTCCGCCCCCCACGGCCGCGTGGCGGGCGGGTGCCCGGGGTGTCCCGCCGTGGTGTCCCGATGATGTTCCGTGGTGTCCTGTGGTGTTCCGTGGTGTCTCGCGGTGTCTCGATTGGTGTCCCAATGGTGTCCTGGTGGTGTCGATGGTGTCCCGCGGTGTCCCGCCGTGGTGTCACGATGATTCCTCGATGTTGTCCCGTGGTGTCCCGTGGTGTCCCGATGGTGTGCAGCTTCCACGTCCCTGCTCTCGGCGATTTGGAACCTCTCCGTTGAGCGCCTGCACGCCCTGTTCGTCGTCCTCTTCGGCTGCGTCACGGCGGTCTTCGAATTCGGCGGCTTCTTGCTCTTCGCCAGTTTGGCGCTGCGCGTCGACCTGTGGTTCTTCCTGGTCCCCCGCGTTTCCTGAGCCACGCTCCTGTGCGCTCCGGTGCGTAATTTAGGCCGTTGCATTGACGCTTCGTTCTGGCGGCGCCCGGCGTCTTCCGGTGCGCTCGCGATTCCCAAAACACCCACCAGCCCGTCAAGAAACGATGCTGCCCTGGTCAAGAGTCCATCACTTTCATCACCGGCACGTGGACATCATCGTCGTCATCGTTCTCCAACATCGGCGCCGTCATCGGCCTTGCCGTCGTCATCGCCGTCGTCGCCACCACCATCGCTACTTTCATCGTCGTTGCCGCCGTTGTCGGTGTCATCATTGTACCGCGCCCGCCCGAGTCTCCGACCCGCGCTGAAGTGCCCGCGTGCCAGCGCGGCCGTTGAGACGTGCTGGTAAGTTCCCATCGGTAAGCGCCATCGCGGCCGCGTCGGCTAACCAGCTGGTCACTTTGCGCGCGAGCTTGCGAGCGCTCGCGCAATCGCAGAGATGCGCCAGCCAGCAGCGCCAAGTAGTTCTCGCCATCTTGGCCGCATGGGTTGTGCAGAACAAATTGTGGGTGGGAAGGTTGGGTGTTGGCGCGAGCAGTGGAGTTGACGACTTAGAAGTTCAGCGAGGTGGATTGCGCCGCGTAGATTGCACCATATATCTCGCACTGCGTAGCTTGCACCCCGTAGCTTGCACCACGTTGTTGCACCACCCTGCTACACCACGCAACTTATATGTTGGGCTCCATGGTGGCTACACACCTACTATAGCTTAGTGCTGCCGCCTCCATCCCCCTCCCTCCCTCTTCACCTACATGTTTCTATGTTAACCTCGCTTTTCGCTCCTCCACTTCCAGTTGCTGCTGCTTTCGGCGTTCCCCCCTCGCCTTTCGAGCGCTGAGCCAGCGAACATTTGTATATTGGCGTTTCCCGACAGGCCTGCCTGTGCGCAGACCGAACTGTGGCCTGCACTCTGACGCCAGCCTGTCGCTAGCGCCTCCATAGCTAACTCTTTTATGATTGTCTTTCTCTCTCCCTCCCTCTCTTCCTCTCTATCTTGCGAATCGGTAGCAGAAGGATGGATGAAGGAAACGCTGATGATGAGGAGGAGGAGGAGGAGGAAGAGGACATGGAGGAAGGAACGCGCTGATGATCATGATGCTGCTGCTGATGATGCTGCTGACGATGATGATGAACATGAGGAGGAGGAGGAGGAGTAGGAGGAGGAGGAGGAGGATGAGGAGACGGATGGAGACGAAGAGTCTACTTCGGAAGCCCCCTAGGTCCCATCGCCCCCCAGGGAGAGCCGGAGGCCTGCAAAAATGCGAGAGCCACGCGACCAGTGTTTTAGAAGGTGTGGCGATGGCCGCTCGGATTCGAACCTGTAGGGGGGAGCTGTCAAACGAGGGCAAGTTGCCTGTGATTTTCCAGGGAGTGCGAAGAACCGTAGGCTGAGACGAATGGCGGTGAAGGTAGGAATGGCTATACGGTGAGATTGAGGGCGTCGAGGACTAGAGTGACGACGAGGATCGTGGTGGCGATGCTGATGGGGGTGCAGGCGAGAACGGTATTGAAGGCGAGGGTTGATGAAGAGTTGATGGAGTATGAGGGGACCTATGTGTCCAAGGGTTTTCGTTAGTGGCAGCCACCGTGCAAGACAATATCCCTGGCACCAATACCGCTAGCATCGTCTTAGTATGGTCTTTCTCATCAAGTGCTCCGCACGCCTGTGCGTCACGCTTCATCTTTCGCGAGGGTGGACGGGGTTCGCTACGACGATAGGGGCACGTGTAGCAGACCGCGCGCTGTGATAAGCGCAGGCGCCGCGGTTGGAGGGCCGTGTGCAGCAGGCGGGGCGCGCTCAAACAGTGGGGATGCCCAACAGGGAGCCGTGTTGAATATAGTGGAGGCCCATGCCAAAAAACACCCTGCATGCCTCCAGGGTGCCCTGGGTTTCTCAGGGTTCGATGGTCTTGCTATGGAATGCGTGACGTCCCCACGCCAAACATAAATGGACGTCCTGGGGTCTCAGGGTTGGGTTTCTTGTGGTAGGTTTCTTGCGGACTGGCCTCCGCTGTATGCAAAGAGATCCAGAGTGCCCCAGGACGGACCACGACGTCCCCATCAGGGCACGAATCGACCCAGGGCGGCCCGGCACAGCCGAATCTGACAACCAGAAGGCGCCCAATGGGCCCTGGAGGCCCGCCAGAGGTCCCAAGCTGGCAAGGCACGTGTCAGTATGTCCCGAGAGGCCCACCACAGGCTCAACGAGGCCCCCCCCCCAGAGAACAGTATGTCGAAGTACTAGGTTGTGCTGTGCTGCGATGTCCTGCGCACCTCGGTGTCACAGTTTCGGGGGCGCATCAGTGGGCCCTGAAGAACCCGACAAGGCTAGACATGTGCCCCAGGATGGGCCAGACGAGGCCCCAACACAGGTCGGTCAGGAGGGTACCGAAAGGGGCCCGAGACAGCCCCAGGTAGCCTCAAGACCGCCCAAGGCAAGCCAAGATGGCCACCACACGGCGCGACCTGTCTCCAGAGAGCGCTCCAACGGGCCACGAGACTACGCAAGAGGCGGCAGTGTACCCTCAGAGTCGCACAGACGGCCCTAATTGAGGCCCCAAGGTATGCTAAGAGAGCCCTGCCCCCCCCCGCCAGCAGCGAACGCAATAGGGCCTCGTTGGAGCCTCGGAGGGCCCAAAAGGGCCTCGGGAGGCTTCCAACAGAGCCCGATTAACACAGGACGGCTCAAACATGCCAATGTCGCGCTATGGGCGCCGAGGGGGGATGGGGAGGAAGGAATGGAAGTGGAGTGGGGAGGAGCGACGAACAAGCGAGGGTGACAGAGCAAGGAGGGATTAGCAAGGAGGGACGACCAAGGGGGGGGATTGGGGTGTGAATGATTGATCAGGGAGCATCGAGCAGCGAGTAGGGAGGAGAGGAGGGAAGACGGCAAGCTAGGCGCGCTCGAGCCATATTCGATATATCCTACCCATCCCACCGATCCCTTACCATGGGATTGTGTTTTTCTCGTTCCGTCGATGGGTGACAAGGTGGACCTGGGACCCACCAAAGGACACCATCGTGTTGTACGCAACCATGAAAGGTGAGCTATGTAAATTGGAGGAGGAGGAGGAGGCGGTGGAGGATGAGCTGCAGAATGAGCAGAAGCAAGAGAGGAGGAGGATAAGGGAGGAGGTGGACGAGGAGGAGAGGCAGCAGCGGGAGCAGGAGTGGGAGGTTCGGGAGGAGGAAGAGGACGAGGAAGAGGAGGAGGAAGAGGAGGAGGAGGAGGAGGACCAGGGGAGGGCGGAGGAGGGGAAAGGAGCGGGGAGATAACGATGAGGTTTGTCTCGCACTCGGATGAGGCCCGGCGCGACCCCAATCAGGGGAAAGCTTCCACTCGGGAGGAGCGGAAACGCTCGGACTGAGCAGTCACACACGAGACGCCATCACGTGCCGAGCCTCTGTGTGCAAAGGCTACTACGCGGGGGGGGGGGGGGAGCGCGCCGCTCTCGGGATGCCTCCGGGTGCTCGAGGAGAGTAGTACATTCGCAGTGTGTGGTCGGAGAGGGGAGGCAGGAGCGAGGAGGGAGGCAAGGCAAGCGAGGAGTGCGGGAGAGGATCGGCACCGCAGCATGCACCCACTGTGTCGTGACGATGCCACGTGAAGCGCCAGAACCGAAGCGCGCGCGGAGGGCGCGCGTGGCTCGGCGCTTGGTTCGCGAACCATTCCTGCAGCTCAGTGCCAAGCATGACGCGGATGGTTGCAGCACTCAGCATGATGTGGCCTTACCCGTGGATGCGTCCTGACGTCCCCCCCTGTCCGCCGTGTCTCCCCCAGTCCAGGGTTCACCACGCTGATGCAAGCTTGCTTTTGCGGCGATCTTGAGCCGCCTGGCGATTTCAGTTCTGGCCGCCCATGGTCAGGCCGTGGTTAGACGCTCCCTTCTTCATTCCTTCTCTCTTCTGGTACATCTATATATACACACTAATATCCTTCTCTCTCTCTCTCTATTTATCTCTCCTTTGTTCAGCAGGTTCCCGGTTAATTTGCACCCTCATTTGGAGCATGTGCTGATCGCTCCCTTTGTAATTGGGGGACCTGCTTTGCAGCTTAGGACATTGCTCGAGCCAGTTCCTTTTCTCATGCAGTGAAGCGTCTGTGAACACAAGCAGCTGGTTGGCTCCAAAATGTCCGTGCCTCAAAGGAGATGCATGAGGAATGCGCTTCTCGTATTCATCCTCTTCCTCATTCTCACCATCCGTTCCTCCCCCTGTGCCTCGTCGTGAGCGTCCCCTTACTCATACTGGCCCTTCCCCCTAACCCTCCTGCTCCTTCTCATTTGCCTCCAGGCTGTCCTGCTCCTTCTCTCTTCGGCCGTGTCTCGGCCACCCCGTAGCCTCAGACTTCCCCTGCTCTGGCTCCTGCTCCTCTTCCTCCTCCTCCTTCTCCTCCTCCATCCCTCTTCCTTTTCGCACACCCAGACGTGTCGGTAGGGCGGGACAGGCGTTTCGCCTGAGACTCCCTCACCATTTATGATACCAGAGCTTGGCATGTGCAGCAGTTTCACGGATGCAGGGCGGGCGAATATCAAAGTATTTCTTCACTAACTCAAAACAGACGCCCAATCCCAAAAACGCGGGGGCCAAAACAAAACGCAGACACCTCGAGACTTCGGGGAGGGAGATTTTGGGGCAGGGTTCTACCAGGGTGACGACGACGAACGCAAGACATACCCCGAAATCTTTGGCCGATCTTCGAATCCTCTGTGAATCCGCGATTTTGGGATTGGGGATGTGTTTTTCCGTGGCCATTTCTGTCGCTTTCGTGCTGCGCGCACTCGTTGTGCCAGCATGCCACCGTTTCACGGACGCAGGGCGGGTCGCTTTCAGCAGGTGGTTCTTGCGCGACTGCCGCGCACGCTCGCTTCAAAAGTTGGTAGCCGCTTCAAAGATTCGCACAGTTGACCCCTCCTCCTCCTCCTCCTCCTCCGTAGCAATTTTTGGCTCAAGTAATCCATATGTCGAG